TTGGGTTTATGCTCATTCTCGAGGCTGTTTCTCTAAGTGGATCTGGCTGTGGGGTCTTATTAAGCAAGATGTTCACACCCTCCACGTTTCGAACTAAACAGTTAATTTTCCCTGAGGATTCGCCACTGGGAAGGGCTTTGGAGTCAGACATCTTTTAATCCAGCAGTTTTCATCTGGTTACCTCCTGCAATATGAAGCTGGGCAATAGTTTTTAATTCATTCTGCATTTGCCTCTTGATGGGTGTGCTTAATGAATTTTCCTTTACTATAATTGCGGTAAAGATAGATTTACTGCTGTCACTTTGCTCTTTGTTCTCTGAGTTGTGGGACTTTGTGTCTCTCTATTATTGCCTCTGTCTTAGTCTGTGTCTTGTTCTATTGCTGTGAAGAGACACCATGACCATGGCAACCCTCAGGAAAGCATTTAGTTTGGTTTGCTTACAGTTTCAGAGGTTCACTCCATTATCATCATGGAGGAAGCATGGCAGCATGCAGACAGACATGGTGCCGGAGAGGGAGCTGAGAATTCTGGCAGGCAGAGGAGAGAGAGAGAGAGAGAGAGAGAGAGAGAGAGAGAGAGAGAGGGAGAGAGGAGAGAGAGAGAGAGTCACTGTGCATGGCTTGAGCTTTGAAACTTCAATGTCCACCCACCCCCAGTGAAATACTTCCTCCAACAAGGGCACACATCCTCTAATCCTTATGAGCCTTTGGGGGCCAATTTTCATTCAAACCACCACAGCCTCTTCCTTTTGTTCTGATTTTCTTATTGTTTTATTTTAGTGAGTGATTGATATGAGGGCCACAATTAACATTTTAAATATTTGTTAACTAAGTTTATTCCACTTGTTTACATCCAGTTTATTATGATTTTAACTGTTTCCTTTAGGTCCATTTACTTAGAACTCTTTTCTATTTATTTATTTACTTATTTTATATCTCAGCTGTAGTTTCCTCTCCTCTCCTCCCAGTCCTCCTCTCAATTCCCCCTTTGTCCACCTCACCCTCCTCCTCCATTTTTGTTCAATAAAGGACATGCTTCCCATAGATATCAGCAAAACACGGCATATCAAGTTGCAGTAAGACTAAGCACCACCCCATATATTAAGGCTGGGCAAGGGACCCAACATGAGGAGCAGGGTTCCAAGAGCCGGCAAGAGTCACAGACAGCCCTTGCTCCCACTGTTAGGAGTTCCACAAGAGGACCAAGCTACACAATTATAACATGTCTGCCAAGGGCCAAGTTCAGTCCCGTGTAGCCTCCCTGGTCGTCAATTCAGTTTCTCTGACCCCTTATGAGCCCAGGTTAGTTGATTCTGTGGGTTTTTTTGGAATGTCCTTGACTCCTCTGGTTCCTACAGTCCTTTCTCCCTCTCTTCGGTAGGGTTACCAAGCTCAGCCTAGTGTCTGGCTGTGGGTCTCTGTTTTCATCAGTTGCTAGATGAAGCCTCTCTGATGATAACTGAACTATAGGCAATCTATGAGTATAGCAGAATTTTGTTTTTGAAAATTTCTTTGTAGTACAATAGATTTTGATTATTTTTTATCTTCCCCAGATCCTCCCCACCCTCCCATCCTTCCAATTCCATGCCTTTTCTTTCTCTCTCTTCTAAAAAAACAGACACCAAACAACCCTCCACCAAGAAAAAAAACCCTACAAGAAACACACAGAAAACAAAACAACCCCCCCCAACACTAAATTGGAAACTATAATATACAAGCAAAAGACAAAGTAATATGGGATAAAAGGTTTCCCAAAATAGCCCTAAATTTATTTTGGATTGGCCATCCACTGCTGGGCATGGGGCCTGTGCTTACATGTGGTTTGTGCACTTAGATGCCATTGAGGAAAACTAAGTTTGCCTTTGCAAGTTGGTGTCAACTGTAATTTGCCAATTACTTTTTGATGGTTTCATTTTGCTACTAATTGATATAAGATTTACAATTGTTATCTTAACTTATATTAGTATTGGTAGATTAATGTAAGTTTAATTTCAGCAACACACCTAAAATTTTTGTTTCTGTTTTGTTGTTTCTTCCCCTCATTATATTATTGTCATAAAATTACATCTTTGAACATATACAAATTACTTCTTTGAGAACTTCACACATGGATAGAGTATATTTTGATCATATTTACCCCTATATTTCCAATTTCCCCTAACTCCTCCCAGATCCACCACACCTCCCTACCTCTCCTGACTTTGGTGTCCTCTTTTTCTTTAAATCACTATGTAGTCTGATTTGCAGCAGTATCGTAACTGTTGCTTTCTGAGATGATCTTTTTTTGCTTGTTTTCCTGTCAGTACTGGGGGTCAAAACTAGGGCCTCATGCACACCAGGCATTGCTCTGCTGCTGAGCTACTGTTCCAGCCTTGCCATTGTTAAATGACAGAAAACCACAAGCACGTAGTTCAGCTAATGACACTGTATTTCTTTTCATGTCGATCTGAGGTCCTGGCAAGGTCCTCTTCTGTACCAGAGCTCTAGTGGGAATGGATTACTTTCCTTATTTTGATCTGGCAATCTATTTCTTTCCCTTTCTTTGTGAATACTTTTTCTGTTTATTAAATCATTTTTCGAAAGTATTCTTCTTTTAGCTAAGCCAATTCACTTTTTTTTCCTGGCTTTATGATATATTTTTCTCCCTTTGCTTTTAAGATTTGTCTTCTTGAATGTCCATTGCTGCCTTCTTTTTTTTAAACTGAAAATTTGTTTGTGATTAACCTTTGGCTCATATTCAGGTCCCCAGGCTTCTTTACCCATGGGCCCTCTTTTGTGTATGTTACAAACTGGAAGGGACTCCAGTGAGACAATGTGACAAATTTGCTTTAATCAGATTAGGAAATGAAGCGAACAGAATGAGATTTGCTGAGAAACTTGGTTGTGAATTACTAGGGTAAAAGTAAAAAACAGAGTAGTAGAGAAGAAATGGAGTAAAACTATCCGACACAAAAATATTCTCAACTTCTGTGTACCGAGGACCATGAAGTTTCAATCCTCTGTTCAGTATCACAGCCAGCATTGACATGGAAAACCATTAGGGTTTCACTCTGGTAAGAATGGTATTGGTGACTCGCATAAGCGAATTGTTGGTACTGTCCCAAGTGATGTGAAAAAACAGTACTCAAGGGGGCTGGAGAGATGGCTCAGTGGTTAAGAGCACTGCCTGCTCTTCCAAAGGTCCTGAGTTCAGTTCCCAACAACCACATAGTGGCTCACAACCATCTGTAATGAGGTCTGGTGCCCTCTTCTGGCCTGCAGGCATACACGCAGACAGAATATTGTATACATAATAAATAATAAGAAAAAACAGTACTCAACTTCATATGGAAAAGCAAAAAACTCAGGATAGCCAAAACAATCCTGTACAATAAAAGAGCTTCTGGAGGCATCACAATCCCTGTCTTCAAACTCTGCTACAGAGCTACAGTACTGAAAACAACCTGGTATTGGCATAAGAACAGACAGGAGGACCAATGGAACTGAATAGAAGACCCAGATATTAATCCACACATCTTCGAACACCTGATTTTTGACAAAGAAGCAAATAAAAATCAAATGGAAAAAAGAAAGCATATTTAACAAATGGTGCTGGCATAACTGTATATCAACATGTAGAAGAATGAAAATAGACCCATATCTATCACCATGCACAAAACTCAAGTCGAAATGGATCAAAGACTTCAACATAAAGTCAGCCACAATGAACCTTATAGAAGAGAAAGTAGGAAGTACACTTGAATGCATTGGACAGGAGATCACTTCCTAAATATAACTCCAGCAGCACAGACACTGAGAAACAATTAATAAATGGGACCTCCTGAAACTGAAAAGCTTCTGTAAAGCAAAGGACACGGTCAATAAGACAAAATGACAGCCTACAGAATGGGGAAAGATCTTCACTAACCCCACATCAGACAGAGGTTTGAGCTCCAAAATATACAAAGAACTCAAGAAATTGGTCATCAAAAGAACAAATAATCCAATAAAAAAAATGGAACTCTCAACAGAGGAATCTAAAATGTCTGAAAGACACTTAAGGAAATGTTCAACATCCTTAGTCATCAGAGAAATGCAAATGAAAACAACTCTGAGATTCTATCTTATACCTGTAAGAATGGCCAAGATCAAAACCACTGATGACAACTTATGCTGGAGAGATTGTAGGGAAAAGGGAACACTTCTGCATTGCTAATGGGAATGCAACCTGGTACAGTCCCTTTGGATGTCACTATGGTGATTTCTCAGAAAATTAGGAAACAACCTTCCTCAAGACCCAGTAATACCACTTTTGGGTATATATCCAAAGGATGCTCAATCGTGCCACAAGGACATGTGCTCAACTATGTTTATAGCAGCTTTGTTTGTCATAGCCAGAACCTGGAAATAACCTAAATGCCCCTCAACTGAAGAATGGATAAAAAAAAAATATGGCACATTTACACAATGGAGTACTACACGGCAAAAAACAATATGGTATCTTGAATTTTGCAGGAAAATGAACAGAGCTAGAAAGCACTATTTTGAATGAGGTAACCCAGACACAGAAAGATGATTATCACATGTACTCACTCATAGGTGGTTTTTTTTTTATAACATAAAGCTAAGAAAACCAGCCTACAAGCCACAATCTTAGAGAGCTTAGACAACAATGAGAACACTAAGAGAGACTTACATAGATCTAATTTACATAGGAAGTAGAAAAAGACAAGATCTCCTGAGTAAATTGGGAGCATGGGGACCTTGGGGGAGGGTTGAAGGGGAGAGGAGAGAGAGACAGGGAGGGGAGCAGAGAAAAATGTAGGGCTCAATAAAAATCAATTTTAAAAAAGAAAGTGACAGGTTTCTAAGAGGGAAGGAAATAAAAAGGGTACCTCACTGACCTCTGAGCATTTGAGGATCCTGTCTCGGTGGACAGCGGCTTTTCCCCACCACGTTCATTTGTGGGATAGCTCAGTGCATTCCAGTGCGGTTACAGCCTCTTGTCTGATTGCTTCCAGGTCACTTGTCCAGGAGTGGTGCTGAAAGACAAGGAGGACATCTATCTTAGTGTCTGCGTGTTTGGCCAATACAAGAAGACACAATGTGTCCCAGCCACGTTTCCACTGGTCTTCAATGCCAGGATGGTGTTTGAAAAGGTGAGTCAACAATCAGGTCAAGTATTAACAAACAGAGATCAGTGATTCCAGTTTTGAATAAAATCCTGCAACATAAACATTATCACTGACTATGAAAGCTGTAACACATTTAGACTTTTTGAAAATATTCTTTGTATTATGCATTGAGTTGGTTGCCTGTTCTTTATGTGACTCAGCCTGTTTCTACGGCACCTTAGTGGGCTTTGTACAAAGCATGGCATCTTGACCACTGAATAATTACTTCTGTACAAACTAAGGCCCAAATAGGTAAGCACATGTTTTTCCTAGGAATAACTGTGCTTTTCTGTTTTACCGAGTCAGTTCATTTCCCTTAAAAGGGGTGCTTCTGGTAGCTATGACCAACCACAGCCCCTTCCTTCCAGGCTTATCTTGTCTTCCAGTTTTCCTTCCCTCCTCCTTCCCTTTCCTCCCACCCTCTTTTTGCTTTCTTCAAGAATAAAATAGCCCACTGTAGGTACTGTAGTAGGTACTGATGACACATAAGAAGGAAGGCAAGACCATCTCTTCCTGGAGCTTAATAAATGCATAAAGGAAGGATGAAAGATTAGGGGAGATTTTTTTAATGCCAAAGAAGACAATATATTTATACAAAGTTTGAATGAAACTGAGTTACTTGAAGGTCTAGGAGGAGAGAATTCTAAGTAGAGAGCTCACAGACACAGGGGTTTCTTGTGAGGAGTTAGCCTGCTGAGGTGGGGTACTTAGATAAGATGATCCCAACGAGCACAGATAAGAATTCCAGTGGGTGATCCTGGAGAGGAAAGCACATCCAGTTACAAATGTATTTTGTGAAATAATGGGAAGTGGAGAGAAATTTCTGGAGATTTGTTTGGAGGCCTGGCATAGTGATTTACTTCTGTAACCCCAGGATTTGAGGGGCGTTGGCAGAAGAATTGAGAAATCAAGACCAAACTGGGCTACTTAATGAATCTTCTCAGAAACCAAACCCAAACCAAACCAAAACAACAAAAACCCCCAAACAAACCAAGTTTTTTCTTCGACTGGGAAAGAAAAGACACTTTGGGAATGGGAATGGAAAGAGTCTGTCTTACATCTTCTTGGCTTCCTCTCCCCACCCTGCCCTGCTGTGCCCGTGCCCTCTTCCTGCAGGTGTTCCCCGAAGCAGTAGACCCTGGAGATGTGGTTGCCCAGCTCGAGTGTAAGTCTTTAACTTTTAATTACTTCTTGCAAAGCTCTTTAGAAGTATCATCCTATGATATTTGATTTGAGGTTAAGTAAAAGTTTAAAAGGTTTAGTAGATTTAAAAAAAATGTTGAACTGAGATATTTTCATAATTTAAAAAATTTTAAAATAAACATGAGCTAGAAAAACACCTATCTTTTTGCTGTAGATAAACTGAGACTTTTCCCTCTTTCTGTTGTGGTCTACGACACATTAAGAGTTACTTACATAGTTTTGGTCAAGATGGTGGGGAGTATTTCGATAGAGTTTCTTGACAGGTGGAGCAATGTCTTGCAAATAATACTGTTTAATGTGTGGGTAGAGAAAGTCAAGAGACTCAAAGAAGCTCAACGTGGCCTGGCTGAAAATATCTGTGCCTCAAGTTCAGTAGTTAACAGTTATTTTTCAAAGCTCCAAATGATAGTACACACTGCCCATAGGACTCAGCTAGAAACAGCTACACAGACAGCAGTGCTAGGTGTACACTTGGGAAGAACCCACCAGCCTCTGGTTTTCAAATGAAAGGCTGACATTTATGCTTCAAAGTAGCAAGAGTCTGAGATCACAGACTGATCTTCACATCTCAAAAGGCCAGCGATGCTGGGCATCAGTATGTGTGTCCCCTCATGCTTCCCCTCACTCCCCACCCCTGGGGCAATGCAACAACTTAGAAACATGGAACCAGGCAGCAAGATAAAATTTAGGACAGATGGTGCAAACAAAGCACTCTGCTTTCTTTCATGGGATTTTGGGCCAGTGGCTTATCCAGACAATGCTTTGCACCAGGGGCCAGCATCTTACTTCCTTACTCTTCTAGGACCTGCCATTGTATTTTCCACTGTGGTAAAATAAGCTTGGTGGCTACTGTTGCCTGTAGGCCTCTGTATTTACTATTCCCTGGACATCTTGTTTATTATGTGGGAAAGCATATCTTACAAGTATTGAGGGTGATTATTTCTCTCATTATGAGATTTTCCCAATTGACAGAAACTGTTTCCCAATATTTGGTTAGAAATTTTAAGGCTATCAGATTACTCATGACTGATGATTGTTTTTGAAATGTGTCTTGATTTCCCTGACTCAGTTTTTTCCCTTGAGTCCCTATCATGCAGTGAATTTTACTTTTCACCCTCTCACATGTCTTCAGGTGTTGAGAGTCCATTGCTCTTATCTCTGTCCTTTACTTTGCTCTGTCCTTATGGCATGTGGTTTGTCTTTAGCAACAGCAACCTTCACTAACTATTTTCTTTTGGTCTTCCTTCTTGTACAGTCTTTTTTGTTCCCTAATGATTTCTAATATGGAAAATAAAAACTACACTGAGTGGAGACAATACTCTATTCAGTGGAGTGACACCATGTGCCTATCACTTTGCTTCAGGAATTATTGAGGTTTCATTAATCTTATCTCTTGTTCCAATATAGTTGGGCTGTTTTATGCATATTTTATACATTGTATTATTTTACTTCAGGTATGGAGCAGATGGGAGCTCTATAAAAGAATGGTCACTGTGCTGTGTCACACTTAAGAAAATGAGAAGTCCCTCAGTCAAGTCAAACATTTCTTCATCTGTCCCCCAAATGTCTAAGATAGCTTCTTAAAATGAGGATCTTCTCAGACTTTAGCTCTGACATAATGTGGCTATTTATTTCTTTAGTTTCTTTTTATCTATAATGGTATTCCACATTTTTCTGTTTGTTTTTAATGCTGTGAATGATTAACTAGGCCCTTCAGAATGTCCTGTCTTTTATATTGGCTAATTGCTTCCTTACCGAAGATCTGTCTGGCTTGCTTATGGCTTGTATTATATAAGGTGCTAATGGACCTGGAAGTGTTTGGATTCAGGCTTATTTCACTCCATTTTATTGTTTGGAAAGAATCCTTGATAGTCGGTGTTGTGTGCTTATTGCACCATATCAAGTGACATGACTATCTTGTCCTTAGTGATGCAGAGACTGGTCATTTGACACTAGGTAGCACCATCCTGAAACTTATTATAACTTTCTAATCAGCTTTTGATCTGCTAGCTTTAGCATTAACTGAGAACTATGTTTTTACTCGGGGTTTGTAAAATTCTTATTTTTACAATGCTGTCATTCTTTCGTATTTTTTAACAAGAGGTTTTTGTATATGGTGGCGGTGGTGGTGGTGGTGTGTGCATGTGCGCACGTAGGCCAAAAGTGGATGTCTGGTGTCCTTCTGGGCCATTCTCCACCTTATATATTGAGAAAGGTCCTTCCTGTCACTGAACCTGGAGCTTGTACTTAAGGCTAATCTTCTAGCCAGTTTACTCTGGGAAATCCTATGTCTTTGCCTTCTGCATGCTGGGATTATGGGTACCATTTTCCCCAAAGGCATTGCCTGGGTTCTAGGGAACTGAACTGTGGTCATTAGCTTATATGAAAAGTGTTTTGCCTGCTGAACCATCTCCCCAGACTGTGAAAATTTTCTTTTTATTGTCTTAATTGAAAATAATTTTTATATAATAAATTCTGACCACAGTTCCCATCCTCTCTACCTCTCCATCCATCCAACTCTAAGCCTTTAAACAAATAGATACCTTGTAGTGATAAGAGCAGTGGGGCTGCGTCCCCGGCACCCGGCCGCCCGCATGGCTAGCTTATGCCCTGAAATAATTACATGGAAACTGTATTCTTTTAAACATTGCCTGGCCCGTTATCTGTAGCCTCTTATTGGCTAGCTCTTACATATTGTTCTAACCCATTTCTAATATTCTGTGTAGCCCACAAGGTGGCTTACCAGGGAGGATCTTAACCTGTGTCTGTCTGGAGTGGGAGAATCATGGCGACTCCTTGACTCAGCTTCTTTCTCCCAGCATTCTGTTCTGTTTTCTCTGCCTACCTAAGGGTTGCCTATCAATGGGGCCTAGGCAGTTTCTTTATTAATAAGAATTCACTCCCACATCAATACCTCCCCCAAATAATATAAAATTTTAAAAATAAAAAAGAGCAAAAATAAAGAAAAAGCAGAAGAAACACATAAATGTCTTCAATTCCTAGAAACACATCTACCTGGGACTCTTTATAATTTTTTCTTCTCAGAGGTTCAGCTCTTCTGAAATACAGTTCCTATAGAAAATGCAGGGCAAGTCTTTATCATATCTGTTGGAAGAGGGAACTGCTTATTGGTGCCTGGCTGACTGGCTAGCTTAGACCTGAAATAATGACTCAGAAAAAAACATATTATTCTGGATTTGTCTTTATTGCATATCTGTAACTCTTTACTGTCCAGGAGCACTTTTTAAAATGCTAAGCGCTTCTTAAAACTCAAGCTGTGCCATTACTATGGTATATACGATACTTCCTGTTTGCCCCACCCTGCCTAAAACTTATGCTGCACTATTATTAGGGGAAATATGGAAGTACCTGTTTGCCCTGCCCAGTCCAGCATGGTGGAGCCACTTGTGCCTCTGAGTCATGCGCAGTGCCCCACTTCCAGGCACACACCTACTTCCAGACACACACCTACTTCCAGACACACAGCTTACCATGGTCCACATTGCTACCAAGTAAGCACTAGCACATTGTTCACAAACTCTGAAAGAGTCAGAGTTCATGCTAGCAGCATGGCCCATGGCCAGGAAGCTTCCATTTTGAAACCACGTATGCTATCCCTGAATCAGTAAGACCTCTCTTAAAGGAGCCATAGCATGCTGCCTCAAGCAAAGCCCATTCAGGGGAAAAATGTGACTAAACTTTGTTTTTTTAGTGTCTAGAATTTCTTTTCAAGCCCTCTCAGGTTTTACATGGATTTAGTCTACCACATTGGTGTACTAATTTGTTGTAAGAGGGGGCTGCTTGTTGATGCTCAACCACCCGAAATAATCTCTTAGAAAACCATGTTATTTGCAATACTGTTTGGCCAATAGCTTAAGCATTTTTCTAGCTAAACTCATATCCTAAACTAACCCATCTCTATTATTCTGTATATTGACATGTGGCTGTGGCTAGCCAGCTAAAGATCCCAGCGTCTGTCTCAGGTGGCGGATCCATGGCTTCTCCTAACTTCACCTTCCTCCTCTTATGCTATAGGCCAAGCCAGTTTTCTTTATTTATTAACCAATAAAATCAACACATAAACAGAAGGGCCTCCCACACCAAATATCTTTTTTCTTGTTAAATAGTTTTAGCAAAACTTAAACATCATGGAATTTATTCCTTGTAGTTAACCAGTTTTTAGATTTTATATACTTTCAGTCCCATGTCAGATAAACTTGTTTTTTACTTCAGTTAATTTTTTTATCATTCTTTATATTTTTGTCAGTTAAAATTTATAGACTGAGCCAGGCAGTGGTGGCACATGCCTTTAATCCCAGCACCTGAGAGGCAGAGGTAGGCGGATCTCTGTGAGTTCAAGGCCAGCCTAGTCTACAGGGGCTAGTGCTAGGACAGGCTCAAAGCTATAGCAAAACCTTGTCTTGAAAAACAAAAACAAAACAGTTTATAGACTAATTTTTATTGTCTAAAAATAGATTAAAAATAGTGTTCTATTAATTTCTGGTTTTATAATGTTGTTTCTTCCCCTGTGTGTCCAGCACAGTGGTGACACAGAAGCAAAAGGTCTTTATTCTGATGCTGAGGGAAACATCCAGTCTTCCACAAGATGTGATGCTGGCTCCAGGCTTTGCCGTCCAGCCTCATCTGAAGTTCTGTCACATTTAGAAACCAAGAAAACGGTTTAGAATTTTTATCGTGAACAGGTCTTGCTTGTCAAATGCCTTTTCCAGTTAAGATGACAATGTATTTTTCCTCTATTATTGTTTTAATATGGCTTATTGTATTAACAGGTTTTCCAGTCCTAACCTGTCCCTTTCTGTTCTTATACAACTCACACCTGGTGATGCTAGAGAGCCTTCTTATATATTTGTGGATTCAGTTTGCTAATGCATTTTTATGATTTCATGTCTGTGAGGGGCACTAGCCTGCTTGTAATTTCTTATTCTTTTTTGTTCTGCTTTA